AATACTTGAAGGACCCTCTTAGATACTCAGTGTCCACCCATTACTCAATTTACAGAAGGACTTTGAGATCTACCTTTTAAAAATTTCCACAATTTTTAAATGCCTCATGAATAACTGAACTTGGGTCTTAGAAATGCATTATCATCATTGTTCACTTGGCTAGAGGTATGCCCCTGTAATGATTTTTCTCTTTCTTCTTTTATCTTTCAGAAAAGGTTTCACTACAGTATCACTGTTTTTGCTTCCTAAATGTATACATAGACACAAATATCTGTATCATCCATGAAAGATAAAAGCCCTCTGTTCGTTCTGCCCGCTATCATTCAAGAAAATAAAACAAGCTTATATATTCTTCCACTGAAAAGTGAACACACTGTAAACCTACCTTAATCGAGCACATGTACGTGGTTATTCTTCCCTAGTGAATTTTAACCTCCTAACGCAAGAGTGATTTGGATCCCAGCTTAATGCACGGCTTTGATAACAACTGAATCTCCAATGATTTTACATGCGGCAAAGGGCTTTCCGAAGTAAGACCGGTGATATTTGAAATGTAGTAACCACTGATCTGGCCATCTCTTGAAAATATTACCAAGAATTTTCCAATTATTTTTAATTCCTCCCTCCCTTTTTCAAGCACGGCAGGCCTGTGCCACCATACCTATCTTAATAATATTATCCATGATAGAAAAAAGGGGAAAACATACAAGTGCTCAGCGATAAGTAATAATGTCTGCTAATGAATATGTATCAACGTGCTGTATTATACAAAGATGCTATGTGGAAAGTCTAGAAAACAAATGAAAAATATGGAACTCAAAATAATATGTTCACTTTAATCATCATGACACAAAATAAACATGTTTTTATGTTGACTCACTCAGAAAATGCCATGCAGAAAATTTTGAATTAATATTTTATCTTAAAATAGCCAATTATTTTCTATAATTATACTCAAATATAGTATTTTCTAGGAGAAAGGCTTATAAACATTCTTTATTTCTGTTTTATTCATTAGTTTACCTACTTAGGTTTGTTGCTATTGCTCATTTTCAGTGAGGTTGCGTTTTTATAAGCAGAATAAGGGTAAAAAACAAGAACTCCCATATATCTACTAATAATTGTAAGTAAACTATCAAAGAATAACCTATATTCTTTCATTATATTCACTTAACAACTTCATTTCGCTTCATTTTGTTTCATCGCAAACATTAGCATTAAAATCTTCCCATCACTGAAACTTGGGCAAGTCTGGAGGGCGTGCTGCAGACAGTTCAGTGAGACGTGCTGTGTGACACACACAGGGCAGGACCGGCCACCGCAGGGCTTCAGGAGGAGAGACTTAGCACACACACTATGCACCTGCGGTGGGCTGCAGACTTGCCGCAATCTAGGGGCACCACAACCTCCATACATCTCTTCTGAATCGTATCTTCTTTTTTACAGTAAGCTGTCCTTGATGCATTGGAGACAAAGAAAACAAACACATTAAGATGATCAAAAGGCCTTCAAGTGAGATGTAAAGTTGAGCGAGGGTGTTTATCATTTTCTTAAAACAAAGGTGAAGCCACTGAATTAAGTAGGAAGGTTTCTACTTTTTGTATTCATCCTTCCAAAACCTAATTGTTCTCTTTTATAATTAGTGTCAAACCTAGAGCTATGCCTAATCAGCTGCACTCTCCTGCCAGAAATATCCTAATACACACTTACAGTCCCTTTGTGAGGGGACACAAAGATGGCTAAGTGAATTCAATAACATTAAAATTAAGCTTTCAACAGAATAGCCTTTTCCAATTCATTATATCCGCCAAGCATCTCTTCCTTTGAAGCCTTCTTCACCATTAGCATAACCAGCACCAAAGCAGTAAAAACAAAATCTCCTTGTACATACTTGGAATAATTAAAACTATCCAAGCACTCTACCCAAATGCTGTATTTCACTGTTTCAGTATTTCTTTCCCGTAGCAGGAAATCAGTTTCTTTGGTTATCTGGGTGGCATTATGCAGCCTTATGCTGCATAGCATTTTGGTTCATGACAACCACATAGATGAGAGTGGCCCCACAGGGTTACATGGCTAATGATGCTGTAGTCATCCTACTCTGTAAAAGTGTGGTGTGGTGTTTGCAGGACTGAAATCACAAAAGGATGTATTTCTCAGAAGAGATCCCTGTTGCTAAGTGACCTAAGATGACACTGAAGTTATTCACCTTTTGCAGTAGATGTGGGGTTTTACTATGTTGGTTTTCTTGTTTTTTTAAAATGACTTAATAATTTTATCCTTATTTATTAGTCACACAAAACAGAACAGGAATAACACCTTACCTGTTAAAAGTTCAGTTGCATGCTTTACATTTGTTTTATATTTGGAACCAACCTACAAATTCATGCATGTAAGTGCATTTCAGTATGACAATAACTAGAGCCTGATACAGAATCGTATCTCATATTTATTGTCTGATTTTCCTTTGTCACTCTGGTAAATAATAAGCTGTGACATTTCACTTAATGTATGTAAATTCAAAGGCAAATGTTTATATTCCATCTTATCAATTTCACTAGGAATAGACCCTTTTGGATATTTACGTACATGTTGATGAAAAAGAAAATATTTCCATTTGAATATGATTAAATTTAGTATTTTTTCTTAGGTTTTTGGGACAGGGTCTCTCTACACAGTTCAGGCTGGCCTCGAACTCACAGTGATCCTCCTACCTCAGCTTTCTGAGCGCTGGGACTATAGGCTTGTACTACTATACCTGAGTCTAGAATAGAATTAAACAGGGAATGGCAAGACAAGCATTTCATGTCTGTATCTGAGTTATTTTGTACTTACTACATAACAGCAAATTGTTATTTAGGTCTTACAGTTTGCTAATTAAGAATCCTTGATTATTTAATGGCTCCAACTTCCTGATTTTGCCTTATAGATTGAAATGCCAGTAGGTTAATTTTTTTTCACTTCGGAAAACACCTACCACACACTGGCACAGTCATACACAAGCAATTGGAGCTGTAGGGATCTTCTGAAGTGATGCTATCGAAAATCATTTATTCCCTCAATTTTCAGTCACATCTAGAAATATAATTCACTTTGGAGAAAGAATTAAGAATATAACACACTGATGTGAAGTACATGAAGAACAAAATTTGCAATATGGCACAGTGATGCAAATTTAACTATTTCTACGAAAACAGTGCTTGACATAAACTGAACGCAACTGAACAACAACATGTATTTATATAGTAAGGATAGTCAAAACCCAAACATTTTAGTTGGATTTGATGGAACTGTTATGAACATTTCATCAAACTAAAAAGTTCAGATTTTAAAAATCTGGCATAATTTTTCATTGAAGAAAAATATATTGGTTATATTTGTCATATATAACAATATAATAATATCTACAACTATTAATGATGTGTAATACATTGTATATTCTAATTTCCAAGGCATTTTCTTATAAATTATCTCAGCTGTCATTACAACCCTGAAAAGTAAATGGGCACAGACTCTACTGTACAGGAGAAGTACTTACTATTGTGGATTTAAATAGTTACATGGTAATAAAGCTTTACGCTGATAAATATATTCTATTAAAAATTATTTTTAAATCATTCAAAATCTGAGATTCACAATAAATTCTTTCAGAGAGCTGACCTTGCCTAAAGGCAAATTAACGCCCAATAAGAACTAAGGAGAGGCTGAGGAAAGTCACTTGCCACTGGTCACTATCCCTGGGCTGCTACCGCGAACCTTCTCCGAACAGGGCTCTCTGCTCAGGGCCGCCACCCTGACACACCACGGTCAGCGCGGCCCTTCCAGAGCACAGCCTGACACTGTGCCTTCCGCGGCGCCACTCTTCCAGGGCTCCCAGCTCCTCAGGAATGACTGCTGAGAGAGGACATCTGTGACGCGACTGTCTGCCTAGCCCACCTCCTCCACTCTTCGGTCAGCTCCTTGAACATAGTCTCTCCCTGCTCGGCCTCTGGCTGTGTGTTTCTCTGCCTGTAATTCTGTTTCTCACTCATCTGATGACCTCTTATTCCCCAGTAGCTTAAATACGTTCTCTGAGATTTCCTCTTGTCTTTTACATTAGGTCAGAAGCTGCTGCAGCATCTTTCTGTGGTAGAATTTATACTGCTTTATTATGATCTTTTGCTTTAATTAACTGGTTCCCTTGCCGACCGTAATAACCTGAGAAAGGGAATGTGTTTGTCTTATGTACTATGGTCTCTCTCGGGGCCTGGACAGTGTTTAGTGATAGTAAGTGCTTAATTAACTCTTGTTGAGCAAAAAAATACCAGTACCAGATAATCTTTTAAAATTTAAATACCTTTAAAGTGATACACATTGTAGACTCTAAAACATAATTTCTTTATCAAAATTCAGCCAGAGATACGATTAAACACTCATATTTAAAACATCCTTCTGAGAAAAGGTGCATTCAGAATGTGCAGGACAAAGAAAAGTGATAGTATTATAACACTAAACTCCTCTGAGGAAGTAACTTTTTAAAGGAACAGTTATAAAATGAAAAACAATCATTAAACAAGTAAAATGACGGTCAAGCTCTTTTCTGAACCCATCCCCACCCCCTAAAATGTTGTTCCTCTTTTGCTAATGTAACAGCATTCTCCTTGGTTGTTGATTTCTGAGTAGCAGTGGAAGCCAGGGTAGCAGGGACACAAGGTACAGAAAGAGGTTCTGAATTGATTTCCTGTTCCTTTCCTTCCTCTGCAAAGGCTTTACAAATACGAAGGAGACAGAAAAAAGAAGACAGGGGAATCACAGATGAATCATTGCCAAGTGATTGTGAAGAACTCAAATCCTTCCAAAACAAAAACAAAGTGCTACGTGGTGATTCCACTGGCGCTGAGCCCCCAGAGGGCTTCGGAAAGGGACACTTCGCTGTTTGAGTCTCTCGACACCGACAGGCAGAAGGGAGAAGACAGCAGCCCCGCCCTGTGAGAGGGAAGCAATCTGCAGCGCCCCCTTACCTGTTCGTAGTAGTGGACGTTCTCCTCAGCCATGTCTGCGAAGGCGGACTTGATATCACTCTGCATATTTTGTTTCCATCTTTCCCAGTCTGCTCTCAGGGCATTATTGGCACATTCCACTTTGTCTTCAAGTTTTCCAATCTCTTCTGTAAGCTGAAGGAGGTCACAGAGGGGATGAATTGATCGATGCAGTCCTGCCATGAGGCAAACTCACCATTTTAAGTAGAACATCACGTAAGATCAGATTAAGGTAACATTTTTCTAGACTCATCGGCATTTACACACATACTTGTGAAGCCAAAAAGAACACGGTTTAAGGCACGACTGAGAGGCCTAGCACCCGCAACTGGCCCGCAGGTGGATACAAGGGGAAAGCAGGCTACACGTCACCTTACTACCGGCACGGCCCTCCTCACCGCCACTTCTGGTTTGCTCACTTTGGCCTCCTGACAAAGCCTCACTTTTCAACTGTTTGTAACCAAAAGCTCGACGACTGACACACTGTAACATCCGTTCTGTGTGCTGCAACCTGAAGGCCCGGGGGTTAACTCGTGCAATTTCACTTAAAACAGTAACAGAGGCAGGTTTCTATCTCAAGATGCTCAGTTCAACAAGCTCAGTGTGCTATTTACACCCACCCGACCTCACCCTCCAACATCTATGGATGACTTCATTGATTTACTTTTAATAGTTGGAATGTGAATAGATACTGTCATCTCCATATAAATCTATTCATATATCTGGCATATACTTATTAAATGTCCCATCAGTACTAGGTGTTCTTCTAGGACCTACACACTCAGTAACGAAGACGACAGACAACAAGTCCGGCTTCTACCAGAGCTTATGTTCTTCAGGGGAGAGATACACTATAAGCAAAATAAAATGCGAATTACCAGCTAGTGATAAAAGCTACAAGGTGAAGCGAAGCCAAAAGGTGGGTCAGAAACGTGAGGATGCTGTCATTTTAGGTAAGGTGACCCAGGAAAATATACATAAGAAAATGTCATAAAAGTTTGAAGCAGGTATGAGTGAGGCGTGGGATACTGCACAGAGAAAGCAGCCCCGGCAGGGGACACAGCATGGCCCCAACGCTGAAGCACGGCTGGCTCGGCTCCAGTAAATTCAAAAGCAACCGGTGAAGTTGCAGGCAAGGAAAGCAGCTGAGAGAAGCAGGGGGTGAGCAGGCCCGAGTGAGTACGTGGTGCACGGCGGGGCTGGATGAGCGCGCTCCAGAGCCAAGGGATGTGGGCGCGAAGGCTCCAGCTCTCGTTCCGTTAAAGGGGCCCCTACACATCAGCACTAGCTTGGGGCTGAAAATGTTCACAAAAGGCCACCGTTTAAGGAGAGGTCCTACTTCAAACATGTCACGATGTGAAACTGTCTAAGGCTCAGTAAAATACAGCTCCTGATGCTTGCTTGAATCAACTTTTTTAAATATAAAATTTCACTTCTCTGTTCTGAATTCATTGTGGTTAGGTGTCTTCTCCCTAAGGAAAAAAATATATTAATATATGTATCACATATGTGTGTGTGTATCCTTTGAGAGATCTAGTTCAGTAGTAAGGCTGACTCTCATGGTTTTTCTGTATGTTTTTGTTGTTGTTGGTTTTTTTGTTTTTCTACTTTCTGGCTTTGTTTCTCAGGTAGAATTCTCTTTCTCTATGAGGCCACTTGTTACTCTACAAGTGTATTCTTTTGAGGAATTATCTTGACAAATATTAGAGGACATTTCTAACGGGATGTTAACTTAATAATAATGATAGGCTGTGGATGCTAGACCATAAAGTAAAAATTGCTAAATGTCAAACTCAAAGGGCTAATAGAAAGTCTCACGCTCTGGGTTGTTTGACCAAGTCTTACCAATTGCATAGCCAAACAGAAATGATTAACTGATTAAGCCAGACCCTGTACCCGCTAGTGCAGAGGTACACACAGTACTGTAACCATACTGCGACTCTCTGACTTCAGCTTTGTAGTCTAAACTGCTATGCACTGGAGGGAGGCAACTGGCAATCTCCCCAGAAACTGAATTTAGGAAACACAGTACCACAGTCATGTATCTTGCTTCCCTTCCCTTCCTGATGAAGCTGAAAATGGGTCACTGCGATAATGGATTGACAGCAAAGGTCTCTCCCTTGTCAAACTGCAAATGCCCCTCATTAAAGTCCCCACAAGCGCTGTTCGGGTTGCTGGGTGGTTCCAGTGTGGCCAAGAGCTGCTGGATTCCTAGAGAGGCTGCGTTGACTTCACTCTCATCTACAGAGAAGCTTGTAGCTTTATTAGTGCGGGACTGGGACCGCGAGGACTGAAAGTGTCGCCAACCTCAGCGCCAGTCCTGCTCTTGGCTTTCACAAGCTATGTGACTCTGGGGCAGACTATCTGTCGGAACCCTACTTTCTTCATCTGAAAAGGAACAGAAGAATAAAGATACTCATTTCATAGACATTTTTAAGAAAATTGCATGAAATAAAAAAATACATCGATTCACACAGGGCCTGATCGTTTGCCTAATGAAGTTTCACCGTTACCACCGCCGTCACCACTACCACACCACCACTCGGTCCCTGGCAGTACGCCATTCTGTTGCTAGTGTCTAGCTCCCAGGTTGATCTCTAGTGCAATTTCTTAATCTAGCCTCTTCAGTACAGAAGAACATACACAGGATTTCAACACAAACCGTCGGCTTTTGTTTTGTTGTGGCTGTAGCTGAGTACTGCTTTTCTTTGATGATCTCATCATTTCCGTTGGAAAAGGAGAAAAGGAGACAGGTATTTCCCACAAGGAGTCCTTATCCCACTACTTCAATTCTAAGAAACAGTAATGGATAATACGCACAGGCACCTAATTCAAAGACTACGCTGGACTGTATCTGTGTAGCAGTTGGTAAAAGCATAGTATAACTAGGTACTTCCCCTCCTTTGACATCAGTATTAGCGATTTCTTTGGTACGAGGACCGTTCAATCTGCTCTACCCTCTGTGCAGGCTCTGATAGAACGTGCTCACCCAGAGTTCACCAAAGTGGGAGATGTGTGAGAAACACGGCAGCCACAGAAGCCCCTCCAGTGCTCGTCCCCTGCACATACCACACAGAAGCTGTTAGCAACTGTAACCCTGAGAAATTTAATCCATGTTCTCTGCGGCAAAGTAGCACGAAAAAGATTTGGATAAGGAGGATTTGCAGTTGTGTAACTCTTCACAGAAACTGGCAGAAATCAGGCCTCCCATCAGTGGAAAAAGTGCAGCAGCAAGCAACTCTTTTTTCCAATAAAATGTTGTAATACCAGAATAAGTAATAACAGAAGACTACACAATAATGAAAAAAAGTCTTCTATCTAGTATCAGGCTACTGGTTAATTTCTACCTTCAGTTATGTTCAGCTAGAAATTAGCCACACAGTTCAAGGAAAGTCATTAATATGGAGAGCTCCAACAAGAACAGTATCACACTCAGTATGACATACCCGCAGTACTAGTAAGGGCAGTAACTATGATCACTTAGTCGGTTTCTCTCATAGGCCACTGTTTTCAGATATATACTTGCATGTACTATTTCACTTAATCTGCACAAGCCTGTCATAAATTGAGCATTGTTTTCTCCCTACTATAAGATGGGAAACTGGTGAAAGAACTGACAGGAACTGCGGTTATTTAGGGCCTAACAGGGATTCAAATTAAAATCTGCCAAAGCACACGTTCCATCTCTACTTACCGAATAGGACCAGTCATGGGGCTAGTAGCTTGCCTGTGACTTTCAAGGTTGAACTGATTACGTGTGTGTCTGAAGTCTGTAATATACTGAGCTATGGATATGCAAAAATAAAACAATAACCCAATAATAAGCAGAAGCCCAGCACGGTGGTGCACACCTGTGATCCCAGTACTCAGGCGGCCGAGGCACGAAGATAGCTATGAGTTTAAGGCCAATCTGTGCTAGACAGTGAGTTCAAGGCTGGCCTGAAATATAGTGTGGTGAGATGCTGTCTTCAAACAAAACAAGTAATAATAATGATGATAATGTGAATGTGCTACATAACATCACAGAGGAAAAGGTAAAGCATCATATACCCAGGACAGACGGTCTCTGACTGTGGTGTCCGGCTGTGTGACCGTGACGTCACTGTGCAGCGACTGAGGCGCGCAGTGTGGCAGGTGACCCACCACGGAGATGGTGCGCCGCGAGGGACCACAGGGCAGAGACTGGGCTGGAGCCTGCGGCAGGCAAGAAACTTAAGCAGTGCAGCTGGGAAGGCTGGTCAAGAGTGACTGCAGAAGGGTGGAGATGACACTGAAAATGAAACAGCTTCTGCAGAGAGGGAGCCGCCGGGGGCTGTGAGCAGGCAGGGCTGCACGCGAGCGACTCCTGAGCCGCAGGTGTGCAGGGGTGGGTGGAAGGAGGAGGGGAGCGAAGGAACCCGTCAGTCTCACGTGGGGCCAAGGGGACAGTGGTAAGTAACAATGGGGAGGGCTCGATTCTCTCCCATTCACCCTCGCCCCGCACTCACTCAGGGCCTAAAACACACAGAAGTAGACTCGGCCCTTATTCACCCTCGCTGATGGGGAGAAGTAAAAAGCAACTGCGCAAGGAACATCTGAAAGGCCTTTCGGGTACGGTGAACTGCAGCTGTAAACTCACAGAAGCACGTTTATTTTGGAGTTTCTGAAGAACTGCAGGTGGCTCACTGGAATTGGTACCTAGAAAAATAACGGGATGGTGCAAGTTAAGGCCACACGGACAGCGGCTATTAGGTCCTGAGGGAGTTTCCACAGACGTGTTTAGATTTTAGTAGAAGGTAAGCAGCATCTCCGAAGGAGTTTAAGATCAAGAACCGGAGGGTACTAACATGAACCAGATTTCTGGTACCAGGGAAACTGAAGAGACAAAGGTGTGAGAGGCAGAATGGGGAATGTCTGTCACTGGTCTAGATGTGGCAACTGACAGAACAGTCTGTGCTGCACGCAGAGTGAGCTGGAAGGACAAGCAGGGTGGGAGTCAGAGCCCTGAGCACCACAGCAGTACTTCAGACCGACCTTCATTGTCCCCAGCCGTCCGGTCTGGCCTCACGAGGCACACAGTTACACGCATATGCAAAATCTAGTTGCATACATGGCATGAAACTTGAATTGGAATTTTCTATTACTTTCAAAAATTT